AGACATGGTTTTATGTTTACGCAGCGCGATACACAATGCGTAAAAAGACAGTATAAGCCATTATAATCTGTAATAATGTCCCCACTGGATGCAACAAATGCCTAATTTATAATGGGTTTTATTGGTTTTGTCACTCCGGGATTCGTCGCTCCGGGACACGGCATCACAGTATGGTAAGGGGCGTAACATTTCCATCACACACTTGAGGTATTCGGCCAATCACAACGCACTGGATAGCTGGCACAGCTCACAATCAGCGCACACCTCGCTTTTCAGAACGATGCGCTTTGTAAAAATCGATGCGTTTCAGAAAAGTGGGGCATAGAGGAGAAACAATAATGTACATTATGTGGAAAATAATGTGTTTTTTGAACCTTAAACCGCATAAACACATTGCATTACACCAAATGCAACGTCATGACCCCTTTAATGATTTGTTTAAGATGTAGCAATATGGAAACTGAAAACATCCGTCTGTCTCACCGCACCCCCACCCAACACTTGTCCTTCCCTGATGTGTGTGCGAGTGTGTGTGTGAGAGAGAGAGATGGAGAGCTCACCCCAGGGTTGAGGAACAGGTTGATGTGTTTGTGGAGCAGAGCCTGGTTCTGCTGGTTGCCTGCACAGAAGTTCTGAAGAAACTCGTGAGCCAGTTTCATAATTTCTTGCATTCGAACGTCCTCACCCTGTCAAAATGTACATCACTGAGAATTAACACACATTTTTTTTTGGAGTTGGAGAACATTTACACCTGTTCATATTTTAATAAAACAGTAAATCATTTTAAAGAAAGTAATAACTTATGAAAGTTTTTTTATTCATTAAAAGAACTAACTCATAGGAGTCATTCATTCAAAAATGGATGTGTTGCGTGTTTTTGATTCAATAAGAAGAATTGGATCATATGAGCCATTTATTCAAAAATCAGACTACACTGGTTGTTATATGTAAAACACTGGCAGAATTTTCGTTTTTGATTTATTAAGAATTAGATCACGACAATTATATATTCAAGAAATAGACTACGGTCATATTGCATGTTTATTGGATTCACAAAAAAGATCTGGCTAATAGGAGTCTTTTACTCAAGAACTGGACTACACTGGACAAGCTGCATGTTTTTGAATAATTTTTTTTTAATAAATTGGTCACATTGCATGTTTTGATTCACAAAATTATAAAGAGTCATTTACTCAAGAAGCATACAGGTTTCATTCAAGATTATACAAGGTGATTCACTAAAATGAACTGGATCATAGGAGTGATTCATTCAGGAATCACACTACACTAGGCGTGTTGCATGTTTTTGATTCACTAAAAAGAACCGAATCATAGGAGTCTTTAAGTCAGGAATCTGACTACACTGAATGATGTACAGTAGATTCAGTAGCAGTGTTGTGGAATTGCTGAATAGCAGGTGTTTTAGTACAGTTTTCCATCCGGATCAGCTGAAGAATGAACATTCAAGAAGCATTAAAAGAACCAAATGTCATAAAAATCATTCTGCCAGTACCACACTTATTGAACTTGAGTACACTAGACTAGAGGTCTTCATGGGTCCACTTGGATCTCGAAAACACAAAGTCTGACCCCGAGACCCAATCAGGTTCAGCTACAAAACTCTGCCGAGTGCCTCGGACATGGGTCGGGTACGGGATTAGTGACCTTGGATCTTAGGTAATTTAAAATAAATGTGCTTTTTCCAAATGGAGCTGATAAGACCGGAACAAACATCTGTAACCTCGTACACAGAAATCCATCTAATAGATATGAGATCCATCAGGAAAATGCAGTCGAGTTCGGGTAAGAAGTGATTGGGGTCGAGAAGACCTTTACACTACTGATCACTCAATATACTGCACCTTCTCATAAGGGATCTGCAGCAGCTCAAGCACCACTGAATGAGCTCCCATGTTCCTCAACAACCTCTGCTGCTGTTTCTTACTCTTCTTCCCTGATGGTCCTTCCTGTACACAAAGTTTGCTGAGACGCAGCAGAATCTAGAGATAGAAAGACAGACAGATGATGAGCTGAAGAGGAGTAAATTTAGTGAATGAACACTGTTTATTAAAGCAGATCAGTCTGCAATAGCTTTCACATGTGGTGCTCATGCTATTTCTCCTCCAGATGTACACTTCAGGACTGGTTAATTAGATCTTCTTTAGTTAAAGTGGCTAAATAATTAGCTTCTTTTATAGTGCTTAGATGCATTAACTACTTTAGACATAATACCCTACCTTATAATACTGAATGGTCATGTGTGAACTGTGTGAATGACACTTTACCTCCTTCACATCTCCGTAATTGTCACTGCCACTTCCATCTGTCTTTTTTTTGCCCGAACCAGAGTCCCTCTACATAAAGAGCAGACAAAGTCTAAATAAAGTAACTGTTAATGTTGTATTTAATTCAAATAATAATGGCTATTATGTACAAAAGACTGCCCCAGAAAAAAGGTAACTGTGAAATAATAGAAAAAGTGAGTTATAAGGTTTCAATTACAAGAAAAAAGGTAAAAATTACCTTTCATTTTTTTTGTTCTGATATATGGGGCCAACAAAGCTTTGTGTTAAAAATTCAGCTAAATTGTAAAACCAACACAAAAACGTAAATAAAAAAGGCAATGATGCAATGTAAGCATCATAAAGAATGTCAGTGCATTAATATGGTACTATACGCAATATTTTAGGCCAGTCAACACTCATAAATATGTAATTGGGTGTCTCTGGCTTAAATTATAAATGCTCCCACCTTCTTTTTGTGGTCAGACTCTGCTGGGAGTCCGTCTCCTGCATCCATGCCTTCATCCCCCTGTCGCTTGTACACCCAGAGCTCAGATTTTTCCACATTAGATCGCAGCTGGTCAAGGTCTGATTTGATCTGCTTGTAGTTGTCAACATCCTGACTGGTCACTAGAAGCTGAACCTATAGGGAAAAAAGGGGAGGGATGCATGAAGAATTCAAATACAAACAAATGTATGCTTTGAAACATCAACAGTAAGAAATGGACTAAAAATGGCAATACCATTCATTAAAATGATTTAAAACAGCAATGTCATCATGTTACATACCTGTTTGAAAGCCATGAGCACTTCTTGTCTCTGGCTGAAGTGTCTGAAGAGCAAATGTAGGGCTCCAGACACAAGCGGTGGATAGTCGTGCATAGTGAGGTGCAGCAGAACCCTCAAAAATGTTCTTCCACCATGGTCATCAAGATCCAGAGGTGTGTTCTCCTCACTGAGTTCAGAAAAACTAGTTACACACTTATGTTCTCTTACAAAGCACCTTCTTATTCAAGAAATGAATCCTTACCTTCCACCAAAAATTCCTTCTGCTTGTTCTTCAATGTTCTCAAAGTCCAGAGCTGTAAAACACACAGAAAAACTCACATAATCTGTAGAGTAACTTGTGGGTGATAGTGATCGGGATATACTGCATACCTGGGATACAGTTGGGCCCATCTGCATTCGCAGCTGGCACTGCATCCACTTGTGTGTTGCTCTCGTCAAACTCACGTTTGAAGATGCAGAGCAAGCAGGAGATCCTGTAGTCCAGTCGTACATTCAGTATAAACTGAACACCAAAAACACAAGGTTCAGTTTTGTACCAGATTTTTACCTGCATTCAACATTTTTAAGCTAACTGACTGTTTGGTTGAAATTAAGGTTCCTCAGATAGGACATATAAAATGAAATACAATTCAATTAATTTAGAGTATGTTTTAAAAATATTACTAAATTATGGGTTTTTAATCACCTGTAGGATTTCTATGATCTTCAGTTTGGTGTCCATTACCAGAATGTCTTCCTTCTCTGGTTCTGTCTGGGTCTTCACCACATCACCATCAGGGGGTGTTGTGGGGGTTGTGGGTAAGAATCCGCCTCCTCTTAGGACCACCTGGGTCATCAGCTCCCCAACGCCATGGATGGATCTCATTACATTGCTACCTGTGAGAAACATAACCAACAAATTGTTAAAAATTCAAAATTCTGCTTGTGCAAGTTTTAGTGACTGTTTGAATATCATTCACAGGACAGTTGACTAAAACTGTTATAATATGGGAAAAAGATTCTTTACTTTTGGACTCATCTCCTTTTTCCATTTTGTTGACGGGATAGATGGTGCTGACATGAACACAGTCCAAAATGGCCAACAAGATCTTAGTCAAACGCAACAAGTCGCTGAAGTTGTAAAAGCCAAAGTAAATCAGGTTTCTTGCCAAGTTCACAACCTTAAAAGCACAAAAAGCAACACAAGAGTTAGTCACATCCAGTAACAACCCAAGCTTGTCACTATTGCACATGCTGGATGGGCGACTTACCTCAAAAGTCAGTTTGTTTTTCTCCTTATCAGAGAAAGGAATATTCTGACAGACCACATCTCTGAGGTAGTTCTCCACAAAGTCCATAGTGAGGGCAAAGCGCTCCTTTATCTCATCTCTACTGGTTCCATCATTATCATAACTAAAACCAAAATACAACATTGAATGCACTCGGTTGAGACAACTACAGAAAACTAATAATGGAGGGCTGTTTAAAAAAACACTTCAACGTACTCATCTATGGCGATTTTGGACGGGATCTCGGACCACAGCCTGGCGTACTTCACAGGCATCACTTGTTCCTGCGGGTCACGGTCTACATGCATGTGAAGCATCAGCCGGCAGAACGAGGCACGGAGGTCGTAGGGTAGGTCTTCATCCGACATGCAGCGCAGGATCAGGTCTACATCCAGCTGGCCTGATATCTTCTCTATGGCCAAGTACTGGCGGTCCAAACACATACGTGCAAACAGGTTCAGCTGGTATCTAAGAAAGAAAATGAACCAGGAGAGGATGTTACTGAGAGAACTGATGTTTTGATTCGTTTTTTTTACCATTTTGAACTTGAAAGCATTTTTGGGTTTTGCCCTGATAAACTTCGACCCTTAGTTTATTTCCTGTTGGCTGACCTGTAGTAGCTAATGACATCCTGGTCATCTTTCTGGCCTTCTTTAGCATCCTGTGCCAGCTCTCTGATACTCTTACTCTTGATCTCCTTACCGCTGTCCTTCCAAAACAACCACACCTCCTCCTCATCCTCCTCTGACTCCACTGGACCCTCTCCAGACTCCACCTCAAACCGAGACAACACCAGCCTGGGTCGAGAGAGAAAGATACAGAATTTAAATGGAACTGGCAACTCATAATTATAACCTGGAATGGCAAACATTTTGTACATCTACAATGTGTCAGTGTTGATTTTTATTGTTTTCTTTGGAAAAAAATAAAAAATAAAATGTACTAAAGTGAAGCCTATTGCATGATCTTAGCCTTATAGAAAGAGACAGATAATGCCCATCACTGACTTTAAATTACTTAAAGTACTTCACTCGCATTTCAGAGCATTCCTTAGTACTTCATAAATGTGTCATTTAACAAACAAATAAATTATTTAAATAAATTGAGACATTTATTAATATTAATTAATAGGATTCAAATGTTTAGGGTCAGTAAAGTTTTTTTTGAAGTAATTAATAGTTTTATTTAGCAGGATGCATTACACTGATAATGTTAAAAATTATTTTGTTTTAAATAAATGCTGTTTTTTACTTTCTACAAAAATATTAACAGCACAACTGTTTTCAACACAGATAATAATAAGAAATGCTTCTTGAGGTGAGTTTTTTAGAATGGTTTAACACTTTAAAAAGTATTCATTAGACATGTGTAATGTTGAAACCACAGGAAATCACACTCATGCCTGCAGACACAGATAACATCTTGAAGTTTATGAATATATGAGAAAGAATCTAAATGAAGGTAAGCTGAATTGAATCATATCAGCATGGCTTTAGAGAACAAACAAATGGGACTTTGGGTCCTGCATTTTCACAATATGATTTTTTTAATGAGAAAAAAAAAACAGTACAGATAAAAAAACAATATTGAAATGTTCGTTAAATATCATATAAATGATTGTATGAGGTCTGTGAGGTTTAAGGTTGAACCAGAGATGCTCCCATGTCGGCTGGTGCTCCTGCAGACCCACCTGGTTCTTCCTGTAGTCCTGCTGTGAATGTCGCAGCACACGGTAGCATAGTCTGCAGATGTGCCTGAAGGGCGCGTGTCTCTGGTCACCCAGCTCCTCCAGACGCAACATGGGACCATCACCGCTGTCTGTGAATGGGGCCTGAAGCAGCTTAAAGATCTATTTGATGGAGGAAGAATAGAGACTGGAATAAATCGGATGTATCTACACTCCTAAAAATAAAGGCTCCTTATTTGCTTTGATGAAGAAAGTTTAGAAGTTTTCCACTGCACAAAAGCTTCTCTGTAGTAGAAAAATGTTCTTCAGATTATTTTAATATTTATTACAATAAGAAAAAGAGAACTCTTTTAAGAACTGTTCACTGAAAGGTTCTTTAGAGATCCAAAAATTGTTGTTCTATGGCAACGTTGCGGAAAGAAAATCCTTCTGGAACAATCATTTTTAAAACTGTATACCATCTAAATATGGTCTCTGGAACCAACCATCCTGACCAAAAAGTTAATAGGTTTCAGTTTGCAATTACATAATGAAAGACTTTTTATGAGCCCTGATGTTTATTTCAAGAAAAACGGATTTACTCTTTTACTCATTTAATCTTTTAAATGTTATTCTAAACCAGGGATGAGTGAGACTAGTCAAAATTGGAAATACTAATTGTCATTTTAATGTTACCAAGCCAAAAATAAAGTAATGTCACCTCAAATGTTGCATGCATGCATTTCCTTTGCGCCTCTTGATAAAGGTTTAAAACAGGACACATTATGAATGAAAGGGAACTGATTTTCTTTGACATTTTTTCATGTTATTTCAATATAATAGTGTTTATTAGTGCAGAGTTTACAAGGGTAACCATGGTATTCGCTGTATGTCTGCTTGTCCAAAAGCGCCACCTGCTGTCAGAGAGTGAATTTGAATTTTCATTCGGCCTGTCTGCTGCTTTTGTTGCCGTCAGTGTGTAAATTTTAACCGTTTGATGGAAAATAAGAACAATTTGGATAAGGTATCAAGAATTATTTGACTGTTTGATTCATCATTTCAAATGGATTGCATACGCACACAATGTTTTCTGAGGCTTTTAGACTAGTCGATTGGTCTTAGTGCACATCCCTATTCTACACCTGAAAATTTTCATTTTAAGGTGAAGGGCATGTCTTTTAGGCACTACAAGTGGTATTGAAGAACATTCTACCTGTTTTAAGATATTTTGCTCTCTCATGAGTTTCTGCCGTTCACGGTTGGGTTTATTGACCATGATCTCCAAAACATCCTGGCCATTGTTGGGAATGTCCACCACGAAAAACACAAGGTCCTCAAGAAGCTTAGTGACAAACCTACAGAATGTGCAGAGAAAAGAAGGTCAGGTTGGTTTAAAGTCATAACAGTTCCTAATCATGGGCAAAATACTTAATTTTCCACTAGAAGTGGTGGAAAATGTTGCACATTCATCACAGCAATGCTTTTGAAATTCCAGTTTAAACCTCTGGGAATAGTTCCCACATAGAGTTTGTACACTGTAATCAATTGATACAGTAAAACAACGTGAAGTGTTAAATGAGGTCGAAGCAAAAACATTTAGTCAGGGGTCGCTAAAGGACTCAAGCACATTCCTATCCCAGATAATCTCAGGGGTCGTACCTTCTTTCATTCTGGGTGATGGTGCCCTTCTCTAGCTTGCCAGCGATGGATGCCAACACTTTACTGGCATCGTTGGCAAAGTCTAGGTCCCTCACCTCCGCAGGAGGGACTGGCACAATGGCGAAGGCCTCTTTATCTTCTTTGATCGGAGATGTGCCAATCTGAAGGAGAAAACAAATGGCAATTTAGAGCAACAATAATATGAAGATAACATGATAATAGGAACAATATTATATTGAAGATGACGTCGACTATAATACATTCTATTTTATAATTTTTACATTTTACATAGACTTCATACAAAATATTTCAGCATGGCATATTAAATGTTTATTTAAAATGTAATTTTAAATATAATTTATATACATATATATTTTTACATTGTATAACTTCTTATTTTTACACAGACTTTATTTATATATATATATATTTGTGTTTTGTATATATTGATGTATACTTCATACTTTATATATTCTTTACATATTCATATTTATATATTCTTCACAAAAAAAGATCACCATGGCATTAATAATTATATTTATTTAAAATTCGATTTAATTAGTTATGAAAAAATAACATGATTATTTTAACGCAGTTAACGCACTGGCCCCGCCCCCAGACCTGTACATCATCTTACATTTCATACAGTTGACTGTTGACAAAAATGATGCAGGGCAACAACTCCATAAATGTAGTTGTGCCCTAAAAATTCTAGATATTTGGGCAAAAAATTTCCCTGTATGAGTTTTTGTCTCATATTTATGTCATATGATAAACGATATCACACGGGCAGCAAGAGCATCACACGAGTGCTGTTTGTCCCGATCTATCACAAGTTTAAATGTGATTTTATATAACAGTTCAGTAAATAAGAAGTTAATATTGTTTTCTATATCATTTTAAATACAATATTATCTGTTTTTGCTCAATTCTGCAGAGAAAATATTACTTTATAGCCATAGCAGAATTGTTGTGCGTCTCCGAGCAACACAGCGGTGATTCGTTTCGAATCCACGTTCTGAACGAATCATGTAATTTTCCACTAGAAGTGGTGGAAAATGTTGCACATTCATCACAGCAATGCTTTTGAAATTCCAGTTTAAACCTCTGGGAATAGTTCCCACATAGAGTTTGTACACTGTAATCAATTGATACAGTAAAACAACGTGAAGTGTTAAATGAGGTCGAAGCAAAAACATTTAGTCAGGGGTCGCTAAAGGACTCAAGCACATTCCTATCCCAGATAATCTCAGGGGTCGTACCTTCTTTCATTCTGGGTGATGGTGCCCTTCTCTAGCTTGCCAGCGATGGATGCCAACACTTTACTGGCATCGTTGGCAAAGTCTAGGTCCCTCACCTCCGCAGGAGGGACTGGCACAATGGCGAAGGCCTCTTTATCTTCTTTGATCGGAGATGTGCCAATCTGAAGGAGAAAACAAATGGCAATTTAGAGCAACAATAATATGAAGATAACATGATAATAGGAACAATATTATATTGAAGATGACGTCGACTATAATACATTCTATTTTATAATTTTTACATTTTACATAGACTTCATACAAAATATTTCAGCATGGCATATTAAATGTTTATTTAAAATGTAATTTTAAATATAATTTATATACATATATATTTTTACATTGTATAACTTCTTATTTTTACACAGACTTTATTTATATATATATATATTTGTGTTTTGTATATATTGATGTATACTTCATACTTTATATATTCTTTACATATTCATATTTATATATTCTTCACAAAAAAAGATCACCATGGCATTAATAATTATATTTATTTAAAATTCGATTTAATTAGTTATGAAAAAATAACATGATTATTTTAACGCAGTTAACGCACTGGCCCCGCCCCCAGACCTGTACATCATCTTACATTTCATACAGTTGACTGTTGACAAAAATGATGCAGGGCAACAACTCCATAAATGTAGTTGTGCCCTAAAAATTCTAGATATTTGGGCAAAAAAATGTCCTGTATGAGTTTTTGTCTCATATTTATGTCATATGATAAACGATATCACACGGGCAGCAAGAGCATCACACGAGTGCTGTTTGTCCCGATCTATCACAAGTTTAAATGTGATTTTATATAACAGTTCAGTAAATGAGAAGTTAATATTGTTTTCTATATCATTTTAAATACAAAATTGTCTGTTTTTGCTCAATTCTGCAGAGAAAATATTACTTTATAGCCATAGCAGAATTGTTGTGCGTCTCCGAGCAACACAGCGGTGATTCGTTTCGAATCCACGTTCTGAACGAATCATGTTCATTCATTCGAATGAATGAAAGACTCATAAAGACCATTTGCTGGTAGTTTTAGTTTCTTATTTAGAGTATCATTTCATTAAAAAAACCTTAAAGGTATAGTTCACCCAAAAATTTTAATTCTGTCATCAACTACCCTCATGCCTTATTTTATGTTCCTTAGTTTATATTAGGCCGTGGATTGTAGCCTAAATGTTTGGGTAATAAATTTAATGTTAAATCAAATGAAAGATTTATTTCTAAAGCTACTATTTGTAATGTCTACTTGATACTTTCTCATTTAACACAATATGGCTTTAAATGGTTTTAAAATATCTTTTGTGGGTAATTTCACAGCCAAATGTAATTTGCGATTAATTAGATTAATTAATCGACACATCACGTAATTAATTAGATTAAAAAATTTAATTTTACTGCTGTTCTGTAAAATAAAATAATAATAATTATTATTAAATTTTTATTTTTATTTTTTTTATAACAGTTCCATAGTATTATTACTATAGTACATTTTAAGTTTTCTTTATTTGTTTGTTTAATTTGTGTTATTTTAAAAATGATGTAACTGAAGTAGATTTTTTTTTTATTTAAAAAAAAAAAATATATATCGACTAACAGCCCTAACATATATGTATGTATATATATATATAAATATTTTTTTTTTTTTTTTTGTTAAATATATTTAAAACAATACTTGTATTAAGATAATTCATTATTAATATAATATAATAATTTTACTTAATTCAAAATATTATTATTATTATTATTTCAACAGCTGCTAAAAAATTCAGACAACAAATGAGATTAAATAGCAAACTGATAAACTATTTGATATCAGTGTTTTTTGCGAATTACTTAAACAACACCCACCCGTAACATAACTGGCTTCTCCTCCTCTTTGTCTATGGGGTTGTTGGTGCTGTGGACCCATGTATTGGTGCACAAGTGCCTCAGTCTCACATACGAGCTCCTGAGGAGGAAACAAAAAGACTCAATAGCACTAACACTCATGTCAAAGATATCAAAATGTATGATCTGCTTAATAAAAAAAAAAATACAAATTGTGACCTTGTGCTTAGTACAAATTACCGACACATAGATGCTCACATGGCACTCATGAGCATCTCATAATAATAACTACTCTTATTAATATAATTAACTTAAAATGCAATGAAATGTTTATAAATGTTTTTTTTATTCATGTATAAATGCATGCATGTACATATTTCTGTATTTATTCAATCGTTTGTACATTATTTATTTTAAATGTAATTACATTAAATATTTATACATGAATTAAGGTAACTGGAAAGGTAATTGATAACCTCCCTTAACCCTTAATCTTAAGACCATCAAGAGGTTACAGGAGGTCTCAGCACATTCCTGCTGTGGCGAGGGTAGTCTAGGGTCACATTTAGAGGGCAAATGAGTTCAGTTTAGCAATTATTAAATTGCTCACTAGGGGATAAATCACTCTTGTACTAAGACGTCATGTGAGCACCTTTAAAAGTCACTAGGTTCAGGGCATATATGGTGGGGTGGGAAGCCTTCTGGTCATTGTGACCCCTGTAAACTCATGTGGTGTTGAATCCATCATTTAAGAGGATATAACGGTCTAATGCTGAACAGTGGCTCTATTGAGGATGTCAAAGAAACATCTGTGCCATGAATTCACTAACCAGTCTCCGCAACTCTAATGTAAGGAACATAATGTTTATTAAGTCAGATCTAATTGAGATCTTTTGTGATAGTTTGTGATAATAAGTTTAAGTAATTAGCTTTAAGACTCATGCATTCACAGACTTAAGCCGTTGTAGTTGTATTGCACAATCCAAACATGAACTTTCCCTGAGTTCATGCCGCTGACTCCAACAGCGCCTGCGGGAATCTATAGCAGTTACACACACAGACCTTCTGGCTATCAAAGCCACTATTGTTCTTAGTGCGTGTAAGTGTGTGTGGTGCTTAAACACACCCCTACAAGGAAGTTCAATACCTGTCAGGCCAGATAGTTAATTCATGCTCGTTTTACGAAATTGCCACAAGCACAATGCACCTGTTCACATTAGTCTTGCACACAAAGGCGACGTTCACACATTAATCCAATCTGTTTTTTTAAATGTGGTACTGGTCTAAACAGGCAATGCTTCTAAACTGAGCTGCATCATCAGAAACATTAAAAAAAAGGGGAGAGAGAGACAATGAGAAATATATTATGCAGTGGAGGTTGGTGTCAAATTGCATGAATAATTGTGATGGAGAGGAAGGGGAAAAAATTAATAATGGTACAAAGAACATTACTGACGAATATAAATACTCCACCTAGAACATGATTTGGCATTATTTTCTATTTTAAATATAAAAATAAAAAATAAAAAGGTCAAACTACTGGATATATTAGGGCAATGCAAATTTGGAAGAAGTAAATAATGCCACAATGGAAAACATCTTAAACGGTAAAGGATAAATAAAATATATAAATAACAAAAAAATTTGATTAAAATTTATATAAAATATACATTTTTAAATAAATAATAAAAAAGTAAATATATTAGGGGTGTAACGGTACAAGTATTCGTACCGAACCGTTTCAGTACGGGTCTTTTGGTTCGGTACGCATGTGTACCGCATGAATACAGTTTTTTTTCTTTTTTTTTCTTCTTCTCAGGAAATTCAAATAATAAATGGCGTTTTGACCATCTTTTATGTGGCATGACAGATCGCTGTATAAATGCCTTAGAGAGCCGGTTCTGGGACAGTTCAGAAACGTGCTGGTATAATCCCAACACAAGCACTGACTAGAGCGGCCGCGATCAGCTCTGGTTCCCATGTCTGAGCCGTGACGCCCCGCAGATTTGTGCAGAGCGCGAGTGAACTCGATCATTCCTTCCTCTGTACTACTTAGTTTTAACGCGAATAAACATGACTGAACATCTCATGCCTCATGTAATTGCTCAATCAGTGTTTCAACCGCGGAAAGACATCAACAATACAGCATGGAAATAAAATGTCACGTAGCATTTAATTTACCTCAGCGTCCACAGCTCGTTAGTTCACTAGTGAAACTAAGTCTAGAGAGGAGCATTTTGCGAAATATTACACCATACACTCTTTAGGTTCATTAAGGGTCGTTTACTACTAAATTTTTGGAAAAGTACAATATTATATTTTTACATGTTTACATACTTTTGGTGCTGAATACAAATCAAACTTTGTGTATATAAAAAAGTACTTATATATAAAAAAGCATTCATATATACATACATCTTTGTGGATATAAAAAGGTAAACAATTTACAATGAAAAACAAATAAAGTATATTTCAAAATCCCCTTCACATTTGATGAGTTATATATTTATATATATATATACATACAGCACAGTATATATGCACAGTAAAGTCTTAAAGTCTTAGGCCACTAGTATAAGATACTTATATACTGTATGTATATATATATATATATATATATATATATATGATGCCGAATTTTTTTAAATATTATATAATAAATTATAGTAGATAATACAATAACATTATAAGAGATAAAACACAGACACACTGCTATATTAATATTTTAAAAATCCCTTGTGAGCAGAGCTCATGCTAAATTTAGTTTTGACCAACTTGAATTCATCATGTGGCCTACTACAAAGCAGATTTACACTGTTCAGGTAAGTTTGTATAGGATCACTATAACAATTAACGACATATGCAGTTTTGAACTGTAACATTTAAACCTGTACTGGTTTCAAAGATGGTTATACCTTAAATGACTTTATTATAATGCAATTATGGTCCAGTGTGTACCTGGGGACGAGGGAGTCTCCTCCTCTGAGGGTGGTGGGATCCAGCTCAAATATGGAGGAGATGTCATTGCCATCAGGGACGGACACAAGGGTGTACAGGACCTTCTCGTTGGGTGTTCGCAGACGTGCTCGCAGAGCTTCAAGCTCCGAGTCCAGCTAGAGGAGAGAGGGGACAACGTAACCATGGAGACACAACACCTTGCTCAGTTTATTGATTATGTGACTAAGATAAAACCAGTCTTAGCTGAGGAAACAATCTTTGATTCGTGACATGCTTACAACTTTGCATGTGACATGAAGTTCTACAAAGCGTTCGAGAACATGACAAAGAAGCAGATCTCGATCAGTCTCATGGTGCGGTATATGTGGGTTCTAGCAAAACAGGTTTAGCAGTTTTTTAGTCAACAATAAAGTGAACTTCTTGGTTCATTTCAGAGAAACTCAGGGGAAATTTTCAACTTAGATTTTATAAACCTGACCTAAGGGTCTGTTATCAACAAACATAATGATTAAATTGAGAGCTGGGTGCAAAGCTTAGTACATGCACACTAGCAACAGGAGGAACTGCCGCTTTAAACAAATGACGGTGTTATACTGCCACCTGCAGGCGATGAGCTGCACTGCACAAACTGCTTTACTCACAGCTAGAGGGCCACCTTGTGGTTGATTTACTTTGTGAGTGAAATGAAACTGTGAATTTTTCTTAAAATATTCTGGGGTTCTATTCAAGTTAGATTCAACAGCATTTATGGCATAAAATCTTTTACCAAAAAAATTCAGTTGACTGCAATGCATTTTAAGGGTTTACATACAGAAATGTGAAGGTTGTATTTTTGTTAAAACACTTGCATTATTTGTTCTTAAAATGTGTATTATTTGAGCTGCAAGGCTATCAAATTTGTCTTTTTTTTTTGCAAACAGACTTGTAAGTTTTAGTCATCAATGCTGTTTCTGTGTTTGGTATTTTTCTCTATGCAAACAGTCTCCTACCTGTATTCAAGCATGTATGATGCAAAAGTTACAGGGTTTACTTGCATGATCAGTTTTAAAGAGTTTTAATATTTCATATAATTTTGCACAGACAAGGTTGGTAGGGATTTTACATATACATTTCTTGTCTCGTAGCTACACTCGCAGATACACATTTTATTCAGTGTGTTTCCCCCCAATACTTTCATTATAAACAGTTTTGATATTGTTAACTAAAACTAAAAGCTAAAACTAAGCTGAAATTAAATTAAATTTAAAAAATTTAAAAAACTTCACCAAAAATTAGAAAAGAGGCATTGGCAAGTAACTGATATAAAGTTGTAGTAATAACTTAAATAAAACTAAAACTGAAAAAAATAAAAATAATAATTACAGCTATTTAGAAATATTAAACAGGACAGAAAAACACATTTTTAAAAATTACTAAAACTAAAACTAAATTAAAATGAAGCTGTTGAAATAACAAATGAAAAAGTAAAAAAAAAAAAAAGAAAAGAAAAAAAAACACAAAAAAAATGAGCATTAACATGCTAACATACTAACTGGAAATAAATAAAAACTAAAAGTGAAATAAAAATTTATTAAACCTAAATAGTAGTAGTAATAAAAAAAAGAAGAATGACAAAAGCATATCTCAAAACTACATTAAGAACTAAACTAAAATAAAAATTAGGGATGTATTTTATGGGGGGAAATAATCTTGATTGCATAATTTTATAAAATCTAAACATTCAGTGAAAAAATTGAATGACTAAATGTAAGTGTAGCCAAATCTGGAAAAATGTTAATAAAACATTTTGAACTTTATTTTTATTTATTTATTTTGGAACTAATTTGAACTTTAATTTAATGACTTGAATATTCATCCCTCACATTAAACTATTTAATGGCTTCTGATGAGTTGGAAAGTTAATTAAAAATGAGAAAAATAACCTATAATTAGTATATAAAATCTATCATCAAAACAAAAGACGTGTTCATTTTTTCATTGTCACTCTGAAATGCATCAAATTTTGAAGTAAAAAGTGCTCAGAAGGTTAAAAATATATATAATGCAGGTTTATGTCAAAATATCCTTAAACCTATCTTGCTAACCAAGCTAGCCATGTTCAAAGAACAGCACCATAGATGTGATTAAAGCTGCACTATGTAAGATTTAATCAATTTGGCATCTAGCTGGGCAAAAATTAGCTCGAGTCAGGTTTGAGGTCTGATGGAAACCTCCAGAGGGATGCTGAAAATCTTACAGACTGCAGTTTTTAGCCAGAGAAAATCTAGGAGGAAGTTAGTAAGGTCCCCTACCCAGTGAGAGAGGTTAGTGCTGATCTGGGAACAGCTGAGGGAGGGTCCCGAGCTAGTAGAACACACCTCACTCACCTCTGCTGCCAGGTAGTGTCCTGTGGCCAGGTGTTTAAACCTGAAAAGACTATTCCAGTAACCAGCGCCACCGCGACACGGGTCATGGTGAACCACCTGAAATATGAGATTGGGAGGAATGGCACAATTAGCATATGCTGTACTTAAAGGGACCCTTCGCACAAAATTACAATAAGAGTGCTGTGGGAATGAGTCCTAAAACCTGTAAATAAGTTTATTTGAACTTCCGATTCCACAGTCCCAGAGTCAATGGGGTTTTGAGTAAATGCCTGAAATAAGGTCTGTGGTAAACATAAGCTTAAGATATTTGCACATATTACTCAACAACATAAAATACACATCAGTTACACCCCACTCATAACTTTAAGCTTTTATGTGTCTTGAAAATAGCAGTTGCTAACAAGCAGTTAAATGGGACTACAGAGGCTGTCGGGGACATTAAACAGTCCTACCAGGGCTTCATTACGATCAAAATGACTAATTTTAAGATGATAGTTTCTAGAAATTTTTCAATTACAGAAATGGAATAATCAAATTTAAAATAAAACACTTCACATTCTTTAGTGTATGAAATAAATATACATTGGTCATTATTAAAGGGATAGTTCACCCAAAAAGGCACTTTTATTGGACTTCAAAATCTCAACAGCCATTCACTGCCATTATAAAGTTTGGAAGAGCCAGGACATTTTTTAATATAACTCAGATTGTATTCATCTGAAAGAAGAAAGTCCTATACACTTAGGATGGCTTGAGGGTGAGTAAATCATGAGGTAATTTTTACTTTTGGGTGAACTATCCCTTTAAATCTAGAGTAAATCAGGAGTATGAGTGATATTTTTCTTTGTATTGTGTTGTTGATTAACATAGTTGTTGTTAATTAAAGACACAGACAGCAGCAGGGTTATTAGGCTTCTGTCACTTTAAGACCTAACACACAGCTCCAAATGGATTTCTGCTTTTTTGTGTGATTATTTTGCAGTTAAATGGCGAATTATGGTTTGCAAAAAACAACTTTTTTTTGTTATTTCGCACTTTCTAGATAACTGAATCGCGAAAACTGAAGGGATTGATTGAATATCATAATGCTGAACAGAAAAACTCATCTACTCACTAGTCTGCTTTAACAGCCTCACAAACTTTCCTTGTAGATTTTAAATAAAGAATTTACCTAATTTAAGATTGAAAGAGTTAGCGGAAGCTTATTAGAAGTGACGTTTAAGTCATGCGTCCGTGGTGTAGTTTATGCCTTCATGTTAGCTTTTTACATCTGGCAACTGTATTTAGGCCAAATTCATAAAAGTTGTGTTCATTTGAAAAGTGAAAAGATAATCTTAATGGACAAAACATGCAACTCGCCTCCACTTCCCACAGTGCTTTGCTGCTGGTAGCAGAGGTGGCGGACTGGCGGCCGGTGGTTCGCAGGAACACGTATTGCTTCTTCCTGTGTTCATCGCAAGTGAGAAACTTCTCTTGCTCGGCATGAAACAGTCGAACCACATCACCCTTAGCAACCAGAAAGACGGAATTAGCAACATCACATTCTAGAACCATCAACAACAACAACTCCAGGAACTCAGACCATATTCCATGTGTGTGAAGCACCTACCCCTTTAAGAATGATTTCCTTGTTGTCACTCCATTTCATAAATAAAACAATCTTCCAGCTAGTGTTGCAGTTCACTGAGTTCACCTGAGGAGAATGGAGAGGGAAAAGGGAGGAGGGGGTGTCATAAGATAAACTATGTTGTTTTTTTTTAGCATTAGCACTTACTTAAAACAATGATTCATAATCCAGAGACATTCTGGCAGAGAAAGTGGCTCTTAAATTAGTGTTATCATAGCATAATAGCCTTCACACTAACACTGGGTTCTAATTGAATGGACAGTAATTCCAGCTTTATGCAGCTAAAGCTAATTTACAGACAGTACTTTTCCATTTAAAGCAATTCTTGCATAGCTGTTAAGAGCAGAACTGTATTAATAATGTTATTTACATACATTCACAGTACATGGTGTAATGCAAAACTGAAAGAAAAAGCAGTTTAACCTCATTGCAGCCAGGATTGTCCACCAGCTGATGGCTGCTGGCATGTAGAGGCTGTCCTGCGTTTACGGGATTCAAAACTACTTTATCCCCAATCACAACCTAAAAGAGAAAAAATAAACACATATTTTGTGAAGAAATTGTTTGTGGATGTTGCACAAGCAAAACCAAGAATGGCAGGCCACACCATTTTTATGTTCCTTACATGAAAGTCGTGTCAACATCTTTTACTTCTATGGTAAAATTTATCAGAAGTATAGCCAGAAAAATGAATAAATATGCAAGCAATTAGAGAAAATTAAATATTTAATGAAGGAATCTGTTGAAAAATTACGAGACGTGGCAACTTATGATCACATATTTTAAAAGATGAAGCCTCTACCCCTTAACTGACCATTATTTGTGGAAACTGGTTTAAACGTGATGACCAGTGTTGTTTAATTTTATATTTATGTAATGACAGATATTTATGTGTTAGGGAATTGAATTGTATTATTATCTAGGTATTTATTTATATTGATTATTGCAACAATGATATTGTCCATTTGTAAATGTGTACCAGGGCTGTCCTTAGGGTGGTGCAACTGGTGCCCGCGCTTTGAGGGGGCTACGCGGCAAACGGACTAAGGGGGACAGATGCACGAGTTTTTCTACCACCCTAACCTAGAAGACACTGAAACTTCAACTTTATATCTAAACGCCATGCAACTTAAATCTGGCAAAGTACAAAATACAACAGATTTTTATATTCTATACTGCAATCAATTATAGCTAAAGGAATCTACTATAGCTTTATATTCTATACTGCAATCTACTATAGCTAAAGGAAACCAAATTTAAGCTGATCTCTTCTAGTGCCTTAGTTTTGCAATTATTCATATTCCACAAGACCAGGTTCAGGTGTGTGTGTGTGTGTATATATATATATATATATATATATATATTTATTTATTTAATATGTGACACTGCAGACTGGAGTATTGATGCTGAACATTTTTAGCTTTTCATCACAGGAATAAATTACATTTAAAAATATATTAAAATTAGTGCTGTCAAACGATTAATCGCATTAAAAAAAAATTGTTTTTATTTACATAATATACAGTATGTGTGTGTACTGTGTATATTTATTATGTATATATAAATACAAACACATGCATGTATATATTTAAGAAAAACAAAATATATATATATATATATATATTAGTGCTGTCAAACGATTAATCACATCCTAAATATTTTTTTTTTGTTTACATAATATATGTGTGTGTATTTATTATGTATATGTAAATACAAACACATGCATGTATATATTTAAGAAAAATATGTTATGTTTATACATTAAATATATTTATATATAAAATATAAGAACATAAATATATAAACATGTAAATATTTTCCAAATATATACTGTATGTGTGTGTATTTATATATACATACATATACATAGTACACATACATATATAATGTAAACAAAAACTTTTATTTTGGATAGATTAATCGTGACAGCACTAATTAAAATAGAACACAGTTATTTTAAACTGTAATACTATATCTCACAAAATTACTGTTTTTACCTTATTTTTATTCAAATAAATGCAGCCTTGGTGGGCTGAAAGAGCCTTTCCAAAATATTTTTAAAGATTCACCGACCCTTAAACTTTTATCTACATATTGTACAAGCATGTTAGGTTTGAGTAGTTAAAATCTAAGTAAGACAGCATTAAAAAGGCCAGCAGACAAGGCTTTGCAAACTTGCCAACTAGAATTGTCATCACACTATAATGGAAAATATGGCACTACGTTTGGAAGGAGAGTACAATTTCAAATCAAATCTGTTTAAACCGTGTATGTTTTCACTCACACTGTCTCCTATGGAGCGGAGTTTGTAAAAGGGCTGGATGTAAAACCAGGAGCCTTCATTTCCAGCAGAGTCCAGCGTCACACGCATGGCGTTCTTCTCCAGCAAAGCAGGCAGCCGTTTATTCACAGTAAGGTACTTATTGCTTTTTAAATGCAACAGCTGCGAAATGAAAAAAACAAAAATGTCTGATTTTAATACAGCAAAGAACAATAGCTGTGTCTCATTTAGAAGGCTGCACCCTCCGGAGGTCGAATCCTCTGGAGGTCGCATCCTCTGTAGGATGCATATACGAAGTGTCCTCAACCTAGAATTAAACGAGACGGCCTTCGTAGGACAGGCGGAAAAGGAAACCGGAAGTATCACGTTGCTATGCCAACACATTTAGAGCATCGTTGCGCTCTCACACTACTTAAATGAAGGAAAATTATTTCTAAATTTGGAAAGTAATTTAAAAAAAAAATATGGTTTTACTTGTTTTATTTTGTTCAATGTTTGAGGAGCTGCAGCATACATACAGCAGGCATCTATTAGAGAAAAAAAGGAGGAGGTTATTAAAAACAAATTTTATCCGTTTTTTGCCGAGGCGAATTAAGGTAAGTTGTAAACACCACATCTGCGCTTGTGTGTACGTTACATCTGCCGGCGCCGGCATTTTTCAAATTAACAACGGTTGTTCGCGGCGACGCAAAGAATTGTGGGTTATCTGTAGCAGCGAAGGATACACCTCATGCATCCTCCGAATTCCTGTGAAAGAAGGTCGCATTCGAAGGTCGCATTCGGAGTGTCCTACTTGCTTTTCTGAAATGAGACAGCCTCGATGACGTATGCAGCCTTCGAATGCGACCTCCGGAGGACGCAGCCTTCTAAATGAGACACAGCTAATATGTAGCAAAGCTGGTATACCCATTAAAAGCCCTTTAGCTATACACATGAAGATACTCAAGGCCACATGGCACAGACTTATATTATAATAAATTATGTAGAACAATTATAAATGCAAGCTCCATGACACAGACACTAAAATAACACTGAACAATGGATTTCTGTCCTGCCAAGACCTCAATGACACAGTGAAATCCCTCTGCCTCCCATCTGCCAGCTGGCTGACTTACCTGAATAACATTTCCATACTGTATCACCGTTCCCAGCAGCTTCCGGTTTTCTGATTCATTCTGTTTCTTCTCTAAATCAGCAGCGTGCTGAAAAACAGAGGTGAAAATGCAGATTAAAATGCTTACAAATATTGTATATAAATAATTTACATTAAAAAAGGTCTAGACAACAATTATTTGATTTATACAGTATATGTAATGAACTTGAACCACATTTACTGTCATATTTAATACCAAATGACACTTACGTCAAAATTTTATTAAACATTCTATACCATCTTATTCATGCAGCATAAAAAGGGGTATGGAAACTTGTTTCCACCAGGGTATAAAAAACGAACTATAAAAGTAACTTTCTTTTTATCTCACAATTCTAATGTTTTTCCTCATAGTCACAAGTTTTGAATCTCACAATTTCAAGTTATACTCTTAAGTGCATGTTTACATATTGCAATTCTGAATTCTTCTCACAATTCTGCTTTTTGTCCACCTCAGCCTGCGAATTTATATCTCACAATTCTGAGATTCTCAAAATTCTCAGAAATGCAATAAAGAAATCCTAATTATGAGATACAAATTCAGATTTGCTAGAAAAAAGTTAATATTGCATGACAAAAAGTCACAAATTTCTTTATTTTTTATCCCATGGCACAAACAAGCTTTTATAGAGGAGGCATAAGCCTGAAATGTTACGTATTGAACTCACATGCAATTTGTTGAGTAGTACAGTGTCTGTGGTGCTGTTTCCACCAGGTTTTGCTGCTTTCCAGAACTGTTTCTGGGCTGAGTACCTGTTCATTGGACACAGCTTGAACAGACAGTCTGAAAGGAAAAACAGAAAACGCACAAAAAAAAACACCTTTAGAGAAGTTCACACAAATATTTTCACCAGCCTGTAGGAGCCTTTACACGGAGCATAAATGAATCAGAGTTGTTTTTCTTCTTAAATTTTAAGTATGTACACCCACAGTCCCATCAGCAAGGCTCAAGTATCACTTCATCGACACCAAACCATAAATGTGCTCTTTTTACTGTAGGTATTACTATAAAATGTGTTTTTCTGTCAATATGGGGTGCTGTGTGTACACTAATGAGGAAAAAAATTAACTTAAATGATTTTAGCAAATGGCTGCAATATAACAGAGTGAAAAATTTAAGGGGGTCTGAATACTTTCCGTACCCACTGTACATTTATAATTGTATTTAATTTATTTAAATATTTAATTTATAAAAATAAAAAAAAAATCTATATTTTTCAGCCAATTGCCAATACCCAAGCAAATAATTCATAATTGCAAGCTGTTCAAAATTCTAAATATTTAATGAAAAAACTAAAATATGTTAAAGTGTGTTAAAATCTAATTTGTACAATAAAATTTAATTCAAATGAATGTGTCCCCTGTTAAATGAGCTAAATGGTAAGATTTTGTTAACCATTTTTTTTTTCCATTAACAAAAATATTAATCTACACATTTTTACATTTAAACACTTTCTTTGAATAACAGAATCAGAATTTTTAGTCATTTCACTGAACATGCCACTGTTTGTTCTACAGTCATGAATGATCTCTCAAATCATTATATTACTTTAGATTAATAGTGATAGGGTTAATGAAACATCAAGCCAAAACCATTTAGAAAAACCCTAGAAACTACCCAGAACACACTTTCTCACATTACTCGCATCACAGCAGTAACAAAAGCTGTTGTAACTATGGTGTTCTGGCAGAAAGTATGGTTACCGTGGAATAGTTTGTAAGCTACAGCAAGACTAAGTTAGCAAGCTATGAATGGTTTTCACAATCTAATACAATACAGTGTTTAATGCACTTGCAATGCCACAATACATATAAAATAATTATTATTATTATTACAAATGAAATTATAATATATAAATATATCCATATTTAATATTTATACAAAAATTGTCAGGTGAAGTGAGCTACAAACATCCCTTGCTTTGGGAACGCACCTCGTCACACATATAAACTTTGAGGATCAGATACTATCATGATGTTAACCAGCAAGTTATTCTCCTTGAGAACCAGTTACAAGCTTATCTTATCATGATAGGACAGGACTGCACTGAGAGCCAGGTACAGTGTGTAGAAGGAAGGAAAGAGTAACAGGAAGGGAGGGGAAGACACGCAAAAGATAACATGATTAAGTGTGACGGGTAAAAATAGCACTACGTCCGCAGAGCGCACTGAGAAATGCGGCCAAAACTAACGCTAGCGCTCAGGGATTAGCAGCCAGGGAACTAGGGGTGGAGGGAGAAACAGAAGAAGAAACACTGAAGGAGGGGAAAGTGGGACAGAAGATGGAGGTGAGAAGAGGACTGGAAGGAATGATGGAAGAGAAATGTAGGTTGATGGTGCCGAGGGGAAACGCTGGGTCAAACTCCAGTTAGCATGCTAAACCACAGAGAGACAGTCACACCACACCAACACAAACACTACAGGCTGTCAAACAGTTATGGACACAAACTCAAGGAAGAAATACACCATTTTAAAAGAAACCTCTATAGTTTCAATCAAATCCAGACAGTTCAATATGGGATGACCATAGCAAAAAAAGACAATTTTGTTGACGTGGATAGGCCTGTCACGATAACAACTTTTTGTTGTGCGATATATTGCCCCAGAAAGAATTGCTATACGCGATATTATTGTCATTTTAAAAACCATTTTATGCCACTGAATATATAATCATGATGTAACGGCATAATAATGCAAGAAGGCCTACACACTTCCAAATGGCAACAAACTTTGAATTTTTTAGAATATTTAGATCATACAAATTAAGTATCAAAATATTAGATACCTTAAAGAACTTGAATAAATAGTAAATAAACATTTTCAAACAAAAAGTGCAAAGTAACAAGTAGAAAAAAAGAAAAATGCACAAAGAACTTGTATGGAGATTTTTCCATCTTTTTCCCTGACCTTCTTTTCTCTGTAAATTAAGGGTGCACACTATTGCTGAAAAACACAATCACAACTTAGCAGTCAGATGTCCGTATGCACAAAGGCACAGATCCCTAAACAAGGCCATATCTGCAGATTAAACTTTTTTGTAGAAGCATCTTTTCATCATGTACGAGAAGCTGCAAAAGGAAATGTACAAAACACGGTGACATTAATTTTTTAAGTAAATATAATGGGCGATATATTGTGTCACCAAAAATGATTGAGGTCATGTACATATATTGTGCGATAAGTTGATATATTGATTATTGCGACAGGCCTAGATGTAGAACAAAGAGTTACACCTAAATTTGAGATGTGGCTTACAGAGTGTGTTACATATGGAAAAGATTAGATACGAGATTGTAGGTAAACCAAAAAGATTCGTAAGGATTTGGAAATCCAATGATAACTGAATTTAACCTTCTTATTTAAGTGGCCTGGTTAATTTAATAAAATATAGCATTTTATTTTTCCATAATAGGGTATTTATTGGTATCGGTAAGAATTTTTTTAAAATGATTCCGTATATGTAGAGACTAGGGATGCGCGAAAAGACCGAATAAATTTACCAAACAATGATATAACGCGATCAAATAGCAACCAGTGCAGAGTGAGAGGCGCGCACTCTTTATTATGCAGCACACACGTCAGCAGTGTGGAAGCATTTAAACTGTCGGAGAAAGATGCAAAAATCATTTCAAGCACCGACAGCGAGAGACTTTTTAGGACTGCATCGCATGTCTTCAATGAGAAGAGGAAGGGGTAATTGTTGCTGGTTACTGTATGATGATTGAAATCGCGAAATGGCCTTAAACAATTAGTAAATAAACTGCAGAGCATTATGTTTTCTAATACACGCGCGCATTGCATGTATTCTGACAGCGCTGCAGGAGCTCGTGGTGCTATCTGCTCGTTAGCCAGGGTTCAAAGTCCAAAGCGCGAGGAAAATCTGCACTGATACAGTTGTCAGTTGCTCAGTCACATTTTATGAATTTTTACAAGGTATGTGACAATGCGATATGTACGACGTATTCGTAATGAAACTAATTTATAAATCTGTTGTCAACAAAAATAAGCATTGACTTCTTCCTGCTTAAATACATTTTCCTTTTTTTTCCCCTTAAATTTTTCAGTCCAACTAAATTTTAAATATTATTTTTTAATAAATTTTTCCTTTTCCTGCTTTTATTTTCTGCCAAAATAAAAGTTGAGAAAAAGCAAGAACTCATCAACATTCATAAATGTTAGTATTGTAATTTTACTGTTCTGTAAAATAAAATAAAAAGTAAGACCATAATAATGATAATAATCATTACAACAGCTCTGTTTTAAAGGGGTCATATGATGCTTTTTTAAAGATCATTATTTTGTGTATTTGGTGTAACAGAATATGTTGACATGCTTTAATGTTCAAAAAACACATTATTTTTCAAATACTGTACATTATTGTAGGTCCTCTATGCCCCGCCTCTCTCAAACGCTTAGTTTTCTACAAAGTCCCTCCTTCCGACTAGCGCAGTCTGCTCTGATTGGCCAGCTGACCCAGTGCATTGTGATTGGCCGAACACCGCAAGCACTCGTCGGAAATGTAACGCCCTTACCATAATCGCGAGCTTCAGCTTTCAAAGTAAATGTAAAGACAGTAAATAATGTCATTCGTTTTACCATCAGAAAAGGGAACAGAGTCATGTGACCGTGATGATGCAGTACACAAGCCGCCGTTAAGACAGCTGACTCTACTGTGATGTGACGCTGTCTCTCTCTCTCTCTCACACACACACACACGATGTGCAAAACTCCGCATTTGAACAGTCAAGCAAGGCTGCTTTTAATTATACAGTAAAAAAAAAAAATGATGGCCAAAAATTATTATTTTACTAACTTATTAATTTTAAGTTAAATTGTGCTTTGTTGGTATAGTGTCTGCTAGAATGTTAAAAATGTTCAGTGTTAAATATTTTTAAATTGTTGTTTTGTAATTGATTTTTTTTTCTTTGAAAAGCAAGACAAAACAGTAAAAAGCACATTTTGGCTTTTTAATTCATGCAATGGTGAAAAAAAATTGGCACAATACACGGGGGAAAAAACTTGAAAAACCGTGTTCGGTATTCGGCCTTTGGCCCAGTGTTTAATTTTGTTTGTTTTCGGCTTCGGCCAATAATTTTTATTTCGGTGCATCCGTAGTAGTGGCGTCTGTATGTGTTTTTGTATAGGTACACAAGCATGAACGGTGTATATTTATGGAGGTGTATAAGTATACTATATGTGGGTGTATATGCTGTTTTAAAGTTTGCGAACTCTTTAGAATTGTCTTTATTTCTGCATAAATATAACCCCAAAAATCATCAGATTTTCATGCAAGTCCTGAAAGTTGACAAAGACACCCCAATCAACAAATGAGAGGAAAATATATACTTTGTCATTTATTTATTCAGGAAAATGATCCAATATTACATCTCTGTGAGCAGCAAAAATATGTGAATCTCTAGGATTAGCTGTTAATTTGAAGGTGAAATTAGAGTCCATCTGTTCAGAGTTGTTTTTAATCAGTGAAATTAATATCAGGTGTCATTGCCTGCCCTGTTTTAATTAAAGAACAGGGATCTATCAAAGTTTGATCATGTTTGTGGAAGTGTGTCATGGCACAAACAAATTAGATCTCCGAGGACCTCAGAAAGAGTTGGTTTTGCTCATCAAGCTAGAAAAGGTTTCAAAGCCATCTCTAAAGAGTTTGGACTCCACCAATCCACAGTCAGACAGATTGTGTACAAATGGAGGACATTCAAGACCACTGTTACCCTCCCCAGGAATGATTGACCAACAAAGATCACTCTAAAAGCAAGACATGTAAAA